TTTGTTCACTAGTCCTTCTTAGCTGAGCAATCAATTCAATTCACTCGCTTATTTATGCTTTTTTCCTTTTTTAAAAGAACTCGCCACCCCGTGAGAGAGCACTTGATGCTGCCCTGTTTTGTTCACTAGTCCTTCTTAGCTGAGCAATCAATTCAATTCACTCGCTTATTTATGCTTTTTTCCTTTTCAAAAGAACTCGCCACCCCGTGAGAGAGCACTTGATGCTGCCCTGCTTTGTTCACTAGTCCTTCTTAGCTGAGCAATCAATTCAATTCACTCGCTTATTTATGCTTTTTTCCTTTTTAAAAGAACTCGCCACCCCGTGAGAGAGGACTTGATGCTGCCCTGCTTTGTTCACTAATCCTTCTTAGCTGAGCAATCAATTCAATTCACTCGCTTATTTATGCTTTTTTCCTTTTTAAAAGAACTCGCCACCCCGTGAGAGAGGACTTGATGCTGCCCTGCTTTGTTCACTAGTCCTTCTTAGCTGAGCAATCAATTCAATTCACTCGCTTATTTATGCTTTTTTCCTTTTTAAAAGAACTCGCCACCCCGTGAGAGAGCACTTGATGCTGCCCTGCTTTGTTCAGTAGTCCTTCTTAGCTGAGCAATCAATTCAATTCACTCGCTTATTTATGCTTTTTTCCTTTTTAAAAGAACTCGCCACCCGTGAGAGAGGACTTGATGCTGCCCTGCTTTGTTCACTAGTCCTTCTTAGCTGAGCAATCAATTCAATTCACTCGCTTATTTATGCTTTTTTCCTTTTTAAAAGAACTCGCCACCCCGTGAGAGAGGACTTGATGCTGCCCTGCTTTATTCACTAGTCCTTCTTAGCTGAGCAATCAATTCAATTCACTCGCTTATTTATGCTTTTTTCCTTTTTAAAAGAACTCGCCACCCTGTGAGAGAGGACTTGATGCTGCCCTGCTTTGTTCACTAGTCCTTCTTAGCTGAGCAATCAATTCAATTCACTCGCTTATTTATGCTTTTTTCCTTTTTAAAAGAACTCGCCACCCCGTGAGAGAGGACTTGATGCTGCCCTGCTTTGTTCACTAGTCCTTCTTAGCTGAGCAATCAATTCAATTCACTCGCTTATTTATGCTTTTTTCCTTTTTAAAAGAACTCGCCACCCCGTGAGAGAGCACTTGATGCTGCCCTGCTTTGTTCAGTAGTCCTTCTTAGCTGAGCAATCAATTCAATTCACTCGCTTATTTATGCTTTTTTCCTTTTTAAAAGAACTCGCCGTCCCGTGAGAGAGGACTTGATGCTGCCCTGCTTTGTTCACTAGTCCTTCTTAGCTGAGCAATCAATTCAATTCACTCGCTTCTTTATGCTTTTTTCCTTTTTAAAAGAACTCGCCACCCCGTGAGAGAGGACTTGATGCTGCCCTGCTTTGTTCACTAGTCCTTCTTAGCTGAGCAATCAATTCAATTCACTCGCTTATTTATGCTTTTTTCCTTTTTAAAAGAACTCGCCACCCCGTGAGAGAGCACTTGATGCTGCCCTGCTTTGTTCAGTAGTCCTTCTTAGCTGAGCAATCAATTCAATTCACTCGCTTATTTATGCTTTTTTCCTTTTTAAAAGAACTCGCCACCCCGTGAGAGAGCACTTGATGCTGCCCTGCTTTGTTCACTAGTCCTTCTTAGCTGAGCAATCAATTCAATTCACTCGCTTCTTTATGCTTTTTTCCTTTTTAAAAGAACTCGCCTACCCGTGAGAGAGCACTTGATGCTGCCCTGCTTTGTTCACTAGTCCTTCTTAGCTGAGCAATCAATTCAATTCACTCGCTTATTTATGCTTTTTTCCTTTTTAAAAGAACTCGCCACCCCGTGAGAGAGCACTTGATGCTGCCCTGCTTTGTTCACTAGTCCTTCTTAGCTGAGCAATCAATTCAATTCACTCGCTTATTTATGCTTTTTTCCTTTTTAAAAGAACTCGCCACCCCGTGAGAGAGCACTTGATGCTGCCCTGCTTTGTTCACTAGTCCTTCTTAGCTGAGCAATCAATTCAATTCACTCGCTTATTTATGTTTTTTTTTCCTTTTTAAAAGAACTCGCCACCCCGTGAGAGAGCACTTGATGCTGCCCTGCTTTGTTCACTAGTCCTTCTTAGCTGAGCAATCAATTCAATTCACTCGCTTATTTATGCTTTTTTCCTTTTTAAAAGAACTCGCCACCCCGTGAGAGAGCACTTGATGCTGCCCTGCTTTGTTCACTAGTCCTTCTTAGCTGAGCAATCAATTCAATTCACTCGCTTATTTATGCTTTTTTCCTTTTTAAAAGAACTCGCCACCCCGTGAGAGAGCACTTGATGCTGCCCTGCTTTGTTCACTAGTCCTTCTTAGCTGAGCAATCAATTCAATTCACTCGCTTATTTATGTTTTTTTCCTTTTTAAAAGAACTCGCCACCCCGTGAGAGAGCACTTGATGCTGCCCTGCTTTGTTCACTAGTCCTTCTTAGCTGAGCAATCAATTCAATTCACTCGCTTATTTATGTTTTTTTCCTTTTTAAAAGAACTCGCCACCCCGTGAGAGAGCACTTGATGCTGCTCTGCTTTGTTCACTAGTCCTTCTTAGCTGAGCAATCAATTAAATTCACTCGCTTATTTATGCTTTTTTCCTTTTTAAAAGAACTCGCCACCCGTGAGAGAGGACTTGATTCTGCCCTGCTTTGTTCACTAGTCCTTCTTAGCTGAGCAATCAATTCAATTCACTCGCTTATTTATGCTTTTTTCCTTTTTAAAAGAACTCGCCACCCCGTGAGAGAGGACTTGATGCTGCCCTGCTTTGTTCACTAGTCCTTCTTAGCTGAGCAATCAATTCAATTCACTCGCTTATTTATGCTTTTTTCCTTTTTAAAAGAACTCGCCACCCTGTGAGAGAGGACTTGATGCTGCCCTGCTTTGTTCACTAGTCCTTCTTAGCTGAGCAATCAATTCAATTCACTCGCTTATTTATGCTTTTTTCCTTTTTAAAAGAACTCGCCACCCCGTGAGAGAGGACTTGATGCTGCCCTGCTTTGTTCACTAGTCCTTCTTAGCTGAGCAATCAATTCAATTCACTCGCTTATTTATGCTTTTTTCCTTTTTAAAAGAACTCGCCACCCCGTGAGAGAGCACTTGATGCTGCCCTGCTTTGTTCAGTAGTCCTTCTTAGCTGAGCAATCAATTCAATTCACTCGCTTATTTATGCTTTTTTCCTTTTTAAAAGAACTCGCCACCCCGTGAGAGAGGACTTGATGCTGCCCTGCTTTGTTCACTAGTCCTTCTTAGCTGAGCAATCAATTCAATTCACTCGCTTCTTTATGCTTTTTTCCTTTTTAAAAGAACTCGCCACCCCGTGAGAGAGGACTTGATGCTGCCCTGCTTTGTTCACTAGTCCTTCTTAGCTGAGCAATCAATTCAATTCACTCGCTTATTTATGCTTTTTTCCTTTTTAAAAGAACTCGCCACCCCGTGAGAGAGCACTTGATGCTGCCCTGCTTTGTTCAGTAGTCCTTCTTAGCTGAGCAATCAATTCAATTCACTCGCTTATTTATGCTTTTTTCCTTTTTAAAAGAACTCGCCACCCCGTGAGAGCACTTGATGCTGCCCTGCTTTGTTCACTAGTCCTTCTTAGCTGAGCAATCAATTCAATTCACTCGCTTCTTTATGCTTTTTTCCTTTTTAAAAGAACTCGCCTACCCGTGAGAGAGCACTTGATGCTGCCCTGCTTTGTTCACTAGTCCTTCTTAGCTGAGCAATCAATTCAATTCACTCGCTTATTTATGCTTTTTTCCTTTTTAAAAGAACTCGCCATCCCGTGAGAGAGCACTTGATGCTGCCCTGCTTTGTTCACTAGTCCTTCTTAGCTGAGCAATCAATTCAATTCACTCGCTTATTTATGCTTTTTTCCTTTTTAAAAGAACTCGCCACCCCGTGAGAGAGCACTTGATGCTGCCCTGCTTTGTTCACTAGTCCTTCTTAGCTGAGCAATCAATTCAATTCACTCGCTTATTTATGTTTTTTTCCTTTTTAAAAGAACTCGCCACCCCGTGAGAGAGCACTTGATGCTGCCCTGCTTTGTTCACTAGTCCTTCTTAGCTGAGCAATCAATTCAATTCACTCGCTTATTTATGCTTTTTTCCTTTTTAAAAGAACTCGCCACCCCGTGAGAGAGCACTTGATGCTGCCCTGCTTTGTTCACTAGTCCTTCTTAGCTGAGCAATCAATTCAATTCACTCGCTTATTTAGGCTTTTTTCCTTTTTAAAAGAACTCGCCACCCCGTGAGAGAGCACTTGATGCTGCCCTGCTTTGTTCACTAGTCCTTCTTAGCTGAGCAATCAATTCAATTCACTCGCTTATTTATGTTTTTTTCCTTTTTAAAAGAACTCGCCACCCCGTGAGAGAGCACTTGATGCTGCCCTGCTTTGTTCACTAGTCCTTCTTAGCTGAGCAATCAATTCAATTCACTCGCTTATTTATGTTTTTTTCCTTTTTAAAAGAACTCGCCACCCCGTGAGAGAGCACTTGATGCTGCCCTGCTTTGTTCACTAGTCCTTCTTAGCTGAGCAATCAATTCAATTCACTCGCTTATTTATGCTTTTTTCCTTTTTAAAAGAACTCGCCTACCCGTGAGAGAGCACTTGATGCTGCCCTGCTTTGTTCACTAGTCCTTCTTAGCTGAGCAATCAATTCAATTCACTCGCTTATTTATGCGCACTCGTGGGGACTAATAGGAAAGATCAAAGTAGGAGCACAGTTGTACATACTGATCGGTACACAACTACACAAGCGAAGAGTAGCTCTTAAAAACAGTCAGTTTATTTGAACACGTTGCATTACTCCCCCTCACCTTCTATTCCATGCTATAAAAACGCTATGTTACAACACCACTACCCCATTTTCGGAAGGAAAAAGTTATCACTGCGGAATGTTCTATTCTGCCAGCATATCTTCTTGGGCTGTCTCAAATTCCTCCCTAACTATCTACATTTGCTGTGCTAGTTTCTTGCCATAGAACAAAACTATCTGTTTTTATTGAAATCAATCTAAGACAACAAAGTTTGACTGAGATGGTCCTTGGCTAGTGTTTACATCTTTTGTGGACCTACTCCCGATATCTTCTTGATCATCACTGTCCAGAGAAATAAGTTCCACTTTCGCTGTTTTAGAAGCGCTTAAAACTTCCTCTTCGGAAGCTTCTTCTGTTTTTGGGTCCATTTTCAAGGACAAGTCAATTGGTTCTGATATTCGCAAGCAAGTGCTCCAAACAGGAGTTTCCAATGCGTACTTGCTCGTGGTTTCTGGAAGGCATACTTTATCGATGCCTGAAGTCACGAACGAATTATTACTGCAAGAGAAATTAGAGCTCTGTGACAGCATGTTTAAACAATGCACAGAATGAACAAATTCAATATCATTGATCATAATTACACATTGCTTTGTTGCACTTGAGAAAGTCTACTATTTCAACATACGTTGCTTACTAACCCTGATGCATCTGAAATTCACCAGTGGACAAAATTAAGCGCAAATTCTAGATTTTACTCGGTCAAAAGCCTCTTTTCAATGTACATTTTTTGGACAACATTTTTTTCGACGTTCAGTAAAATTTTTACATTGACCGAGAGCAAATGATCGGAGCTACCATCTGTGAAAGTATCAATATTTGGTTTCAATGACTTACCAAAGTAATCCGGGTCTGAAAATGCCTGTTTTTTTTTACTTCGCGTGAGTAAGTAATAAACGTCTGAGTTTAGTAAAACTTCACACTGATTGTTTCCCTTTTCTCGCTAAGAATGTCTCACGTTGCATGAACAAACTTTTTACTCCCCTTATTCAAGAAAGATTTCACTGCGATGCAAAATTTAGTGCAGATGAGGAAAACAGGCATTTTCAGACCCGGATTACATTGGCAAGTCATTGAAACCAAATATTGATACTTTCACAGATGGTAGCTCTGATAATTTGTGTCAATGTAAAAATTTGACTGAACTTCGAAGGAAATGTTGTCCAAAAAATGTATATTGAAAACAGGCATTTGACAGAGTAAAATCTAGAATTTGCGCTTAATTTTGTCCACTAGTGTAAAAGGCATATGAAGTGATGCCCTTTTTTTCATTTTTAAGCAATTCGATAGTAAGGGTGTCTGGAGGATTCCATTTAGCTTACTCTGTTATTCCATCCATAAATAATCCAAATATTGCTTACTGGCAGATACTTGTTCTGACTTCTCAGAACTCACTGCGATGCAAAACTTAACAGGTGAGGAAAACTGACCGCATTTTCAGACACGGATTACAATGGAAACTTATTGAAACAAAATATTCTTAGCTCTGACCATTTGCTTTGGTCTATGTAAAAATTTTGCATATTTTCATAAGAGATGTTATACAAAATGGACATTGAATACAGGCATTTTAGAAAGAAAAATCGTGAATTTGCACTTAATTTTGTCCGCTTACGCTTTTGCTGTTTGCTAGCCGAGTTTGCCTTCCTTTTCTCAAAGATATTTAACTGTAGTTAAAAAGAAATCAAAAATGAAACCGCGAAAAATCAATTTAGTTGCTCAATGGCCAACGGTGTATGTTTACCAAAAATGGTCAGATGTGTTGTCTAGGAGGCGTTTTTGCTTCAATGAGCTCAGATAAAGTGGTGAGAAAAATTGGCGTTTTGGAGTAGAGTGTTTTGTTATGGGAGGAGGGAACTACTGGTTGGACAAGTAGATAGAGTGGCCAGCGTTTACCCACCCAAGGGGGAAGTGGCGAGAAGACTGAACTTTTTGTGAGAAAACATATTGACAGTTGCAATTAGCATGCATTGCTCGGAAGGGAACAATCAAGAGAGTGTAACGATGTTATAGGAGACCCACAAGCATACAATATTCCATAGGTGGAGGAGCTAAAAATGAGAAGCTCCGCTACCCTAAATGACCCTAAATTCACATCCCAAACAGCAAATGGTTTTACTAAAAAACAAGTTCAAGTTTGTTTTTAATGTTTTAACACAGGTGAAGACCGCTTTCGGTTCCGCACTGATCACAATAATGGAGTCCACTTGAAGCTTTCGATTTCAGATTTTCAGCAAACGCAAGTGAGAAAACCGCAAAAAGTGAAAAGGAAAGAAAAGGTAAAAATAAGCTTTGAAAAAGAAAAATGCCGGAATCCAACAGCCCACCTGGAGAATACTACTCTCGCGCGTACTCGCATCGGCGCCAAACTGGATGATTTTTTAAATTCCGCTGTGAAATTTAGAATTAAAATCCATTTTTGAGACGAAATAATTTCTGTTTTTAGCTCCGTTTGAAGTTTTGTTGAAAGTGAGCGGAACTACCCTTGGTTTGGCAAATTAATTTCACTTATAATTTTACAAAAAAAAAATCGCAACGAGTGCCAAGAAATTTTACGATATTGAGAAAATCAAAGCAAAAAAACAACTGACGTCCCTGCCGGCGTCATGCATTTGATATAAGCAATTTTGATACAAATGATTATGTAAGGAGCGCAAACTTATTTTTACTGAACTATTTAAACATTGATAACTAATGCTACCAACCATAGAGAGATGTAACTGAGCTGTAAAACTTCTGATCAGAATAGGGATCTAGAGTAATAGGCCTGACCCAAGCATCCCCCAGTGAAAGATATGCCTAACCCCTCGAAACATATTGAAACAATAATAAACCCTGATAGCCTGTAGTGCTATTTAATAGCATCACAGCTCAGAAACAACAAACAGAAAGACAAAATATCAGACAGGAAAGACTGTATATGACAACAACCTAAAGAACAGAATAAATGTCATCTTTTAATAACACTAAAAAAACATTTGTGATTAACCTACTAGCAATTTGATATTTTTTACCCTGATAGCTTATCCTGATACTAGCAACCCCGTCTCCTCGAAGTGTTTAACTTACCATTTGCTTCCGATCTCTTTACACCTGCCATCCCCACGGTACTGCTGCGTTCTTCATCTTCAATTATGTTAACTGTATTATCTAGTGCAGCTGGGCCCACTTCGACGCCATCAACCTCAATCACTATTTTTTCACACGGTTCCATTTCTTCTTCATCTTCGTCACATGAGATTTCCTCTTCATCTTCGCTGAAAACTTCGTCCGCGTTCACGTCTCCAACATGTATACTTGAATCACTTTTATTACCTTCCGTCTCCTCACTTTCAGCATCATCCTCGTCGTCTTGTGTGGCGTCGTCATTCCCAATTTCTGGGTCATATTCGGCATTCTTCGTTTCCAATACTAGAGTTTTGTCAAAAAGTTTGATAGGACTTTTAGCAGCTGAATTTAAAGCCTCCGTTTGTTCCTCTCTGCTTTTGAACCCCAGTATGTAAGCTTCAGCACTTTTCTTAAAGGCAAAAAGTGAGTTTGGAAAGACTTCTTTTAAGTCTGAGGATAGGGCGCCTCTGTCAACATTTGAGGCGAGAATTGAGAACTGGCTCGCATTTGCAAAATTATCCAGTAACTCAATTTCCGTTTCACAAAGTCTCTTGTTTTTTCTCAATTTTTCTCGAAGATCATCCATATTTTCAACGTAGAGTTCCTTATTTGGATCAACCGCATGGTTTACGAATGTCTCTTTGAAATCTCGAGTACGCCGTTTCTTGAACATTTTGATGATGTCTTTGAAAATTCCTTCTGCCGTCAATTGCAAATTGCTGAATTTGAACTTTTGATCATTGAAATTCTTGACAACATGGAAAACATCTGGAAAATCGGGTGGCTCAATGCTTTTGTTGATTAACTGAGTGATTCTCTCATTCAGATCTTCATAATGAGTCGATTTGAACCTCAAACTTTTGTACTGTTCTCGTTGCAATGATTGCGACTCCTTCCTCAGCTCACAGAGCTTCTTGTGTATTTTAACAGCTTGAGCTTTCCATTTTGATAGCTGTATGTAGGCACTATTACTACTTTGCAGGTCGTCCAAGTCGTTATCCATCAGTTCAATTTTCGCAATGTCCTTTTCAAGTCGCGCTAAGTTTTTCTCCAGTTTGCAGATAAAACTTTCAATTTTGAGTCCTTTTATCTTTTCCTCTTCCGTCTCTCCTCCGTTTCCTGTCTGTTCCGATTGCTGATCAGCATGAACCCCTTCGGCGTCATCTTCAGACTCATCATCGTTTTCTGTTGTTTTCGCCTTCTTTTTGTTTTTCTGTAAATCACCTAGATCTGCATTCGGGTCACCATTTGTACGCTTGAGTGTTTTTAGAGCATCTGCAGCACTGTTCTCATTTTCCAAGTTTACATCTATCAGTTGCTTGTCTGAACAGGTTTCAATTTTAGAAGATATCAAAGCCGTACAACTAGACCGGTCGACATTTACTACTATTTGGGACTGAGAATTTGTTTTCAATAGCTTTTTCTCCATTTTCTCATCCTCAATTGTAACTTTTCCTTTCGTGATTTCTAGGCCCTGCTCTGGTTTAATCATTTTCAGTAGTTCACTTAGGACTTTCTTAACGACACCTTTTACTTCTTTGAGATTTAACGGGGCACTGTTATCCTGGAGAGCACTACACGTCCTGCTTATAGTGGCAAGAAAATCATCTATTCTATTAGACTGAAGCATAACAGGATAAGCAGCCCGGTAGTACTTTTGCAAGACTTGAACTGTCTTCTCGTCTTCGTTTGACTGCAGTAATTTCAATAAGGATTGTATTCTTTTGACAAAATCAACCCAAACTGGAGACGGATTTTCAGTCATCTTTCTCTGAATAACATTAATACTCCAAATACGTTAAAACTGTTACTTAAACAAACGTTTCGCACATTTTAGTGCATCGTCAGATTTGGAAGATATAATTAAACTTTGAGAAAGATCAAAAAGTGTGTAACATTCGCCCGGAAGTACATATCGACGGAAAATAAAGCTAAGCTATAAAACGACTGGCCAGCGTCTAAACTAAGCTCTACATGCTTTTCACCGTCTCTACCAAGGCCAGTTCTTTTGGTGGTCCTTCTAACATCGGGTCGACAAAAACGTTACTGCTTTCGGATTCGGTCAAAACACTCAGATTAACTTAATTACATGCAGAAATAGTGAGCTCATGGCTGGGTCTTAGTATCCCCAGATCACGAGGTCTCTCCTAAAATCAGGGCTACTACTACTTATAATATTACTATTGTTTTTGTTCAGTAGATAAAAATCATCATCTTGTGCCAGTCGGTCATGTCTGGAAGTTGGACCTTGAGAGACACGAAAATACGTAATTTTGGAGTGAAGTTTTAATTTTAAAAATTTCGAATGGAGCCTGTCATGCTCAGTTTTCTCGTACCAACTGAAAACAAGAAGTGAAAAATCAGAACGACCGATTTACAATCGCGGGAAAGTAATTGAATAAAACAGGGGGAAATGGATATTCGCAATTTCCCGATACAAAATAAGACACGAGTAGAGCTGTCCTATCCTGAAATAGGAGGAGAAATAATAAAAAGAAGAGAGAACAACTATTCGAAACGAACCAGAGTGAGCCTTCAATGGAAAGGTGGACAGCTTGAGTGTCCCAATGGTTCATACAAAAACTCCAATTCTAGAGTCAGAACTTACTTCTGTGTGCCAGTCGGTCATATTTGGAAGTTTGACCTTGAGAAGAGCAGAAAACACTTGATTTTGTAGTGAAATTTAATTTTTCAAAATTTCGAATGGAACATGTCATGCACGATTTTCTCGCGATAACTGAAAATCAGAAAACAATTTAAGAACAATTTCAGAACAATTGCGGGAAAGTTGTCAGATAAAAACGAGTGTGAAATTGCAATTCGCAATTTCCATCATAGTGAACAAGAGTAGAGCTGTCCTATCTGAAATAGAAGACAGAGTGTTCCCGAGAGAACAATTATTCGAACTGGACCAGAGTGAACCTTCGACGGAAAGGTGGACAGCTTGAGTGTCCTAATGGTCCACATAAAACTGCAGTCTAGAGTAAAAACTTGTTCTTGTTGTTAAAACTGACTGACATTAAACTTATCTTAGTTACTTTATTGATTCTTGAGTTGTTTACCGACTTATTTACTTCCTGGTTCTTGAGCGTGCTACAATGTGAGTACTTAATTTAAATTCTAGAGTGTGTTTTATGATTGTTATGTTGAGGTAAGGCGAGTTTTAGGTTGATCCATCTGAAATGGGTCAAAGTTCCACTGTCTAATAAAAAAGCAACTTAACGGATTGTTCCGACCCGGTTTTTAACGGCGTTCATGTATTTTGGGTATCTAGAGACCTAAGTATGGGGACGTTTCTAATTCTAGAGTGGGGGGTATTTTAGTAGTAGCCTTTAAGCTGTAACGGGTCGTAGTCTCATGTCACAAGCGAACCGAATTGGCTCCGACTGATTTGAGGCGGAAAAACACAAGAGATAGTGTCCCTGACTCCTGAGCCAATAGTTATAGGGCCTATTTTTCTTAAGCCTCATGTGTGACTGTAGTAGACGAATGTTACATAGTGTTTTTATGGCGCTCCTGGGTGTTTACGACATCAAGACTACGGAGTCGAACCCACTTGAGACAGCTTCGGGCTGAATGCCCATTCTAGAGTACCGGCGGTACGGTTCGACAGGAACGTGCAAACCTTCCGGTTGTACCGTGATAGCTTTTTAAGAAAACTCGAGAAAATTTCCTGGTACGCTCTCCGAACGAGGCTTAGCTAACCGAGTAAAGGGGGGCAACTAGGGGGACAAAAACACGAGCAAAAAGACAAAAAGCAAAACAAAAACCAAAAAAGAATAGAAAAAGGAACAAAAACCATAAAACGAAAAAAGACAGTGACTTTGACACCAGATTAGTTGGATCAAACCTTTATATTAATTAAATAGTATACCCATACTGTTTTACAAGTTCGATCGTTTCGATCAACCTAGCAATTTAAACCAGTAAACTGAATAAAGTGCCCGAAGTGGGGCGTTGTCAAGGGTTTTCAGATAGCTTGGAACTTAGCTGGACCAATAGGAGACTTGACTGGAAGAGGTGACCAGCCGAGTGGGAAAGTGGTTCAGGGACACTTGAGCTGAACCAATAGGAGACTTGACTGGAAGAGGTGACCAGCCGAGTGGGAAAGTGGTTCAGGGACACTTGAGCTGAACCAATAGGAGACTGGACTGGAACAGGTGACCAGTCGAGTGGGAAAGTAGCCAAGAAGGATTTGGCAATTCTCGAGTTCTCAAGTTGGGCAGAACGGGTATCGTTAGAATCCACATTACATTATAGGAGATAAGTGTAAAATTGGATAAGCGAAATCCCCCAGTTTTGAGGAACGTTTTTACTTGAGCAGGCCTGGAAACAGGTCTACGGTTTTCTCTTGAGAGGTTTAGCACCCGGCGCTTAAAGTAATTTTTAGGCTTAAGAAGGGGGGCTAGAAAGGGGGGAGGTTAGAAGGGGGACTGGTTAAGTTAGAGGTTGGCGGTTGTAAATTGTAAAAAGGGGGAAATTAGAGTAACTAATTAGTCGACATCGTTGACTTAGTTACATTAGAAATTAACACGCGTTGGTAATATTAGGTGGAGATCCAAAATTCAACTCGAGTTAAGACTGGTACGCTGGTTGGTTTGGTAGGGGGGACCGGGTATAAACAGCTTTTGTGAAACCCCATAAGATCACTAGTGGGGGGAGGAAAACGCGTGGCAATTAGGTACCAGACATTTTTTTCGACGAAAGGTAGACATTGGTCACCTTTGAATTTCAGGTGGGCTCATTTTTCTGTTTTTATTATTTTTCTTACTTAGATTTTTGTTGCATTTTAGTGAGGATTTGTGTTTGGTTTTATACGAACAGGTGATCACAAGATACCTGCGCACCTACATTGAAATAGAAACAACCAAAAAGAAGAGGGGGGTCAGCATTTGGCTTTTAAGAGAGGGTTTTTGGGAAAATTTTACTAGAGCTTGAGTGGTGGTACAAGGTACGGTGATTCAAGAAGACCCTACAACGAGGAAGACACTCCGTGACGAGTCTTGGGACAATACCGAAGAAGTCTTGGGACAGAGCAGTCTTGGGACAGTGGTCTTGGGACAGGGTCTTGGGACAGTGGTCTTGGGACAGGGTCTTGGGACAGTGGTCTTGGGACAGTGGTCTTGGGACAGTGGTCTTGGGACAGGGTCTTGGGACAGTGGTCTTGGGACGGGGTCTTGGGACAGTGGTCTTGGGACAAGGGTCTTGGGACAGGGTCTTGGGACAGGGTCTTGGGACAGTGGTCTTGGGACAGGGTCTTGGGACAGGGTCTTGGGACAGTGGTCTTGGGACAGGGTCTTGGGACAGTGGTCTTGGGACAGGGTCTTGGGACAGTGGTCTTGGGACAGTGGTCTTGGGACAAGGGTCTTGGGACACTAGTCTTGGGACACTAGCCTTGGGACACTGGTCTTGGGACACTGGTCTTGGGACAGTAGTCTTGGGACACTAGCCTTGGGACAGTAGTCTTGGGACACCAGCCTTGGGACACTGGTCTTGGGACACTACCCTTGGGACACTAGTCTTGGGACAGTAGTCTTGGGACACTAGCCTTGGGACACTAGTCTTGGGACACTAGCCTTGGGACACTGGTCTTGGGACACTACCCTTGGGACACTAGTCTTGGGACAGTAGTCTTGGGACAGTAATCTTGGGACACTAGCCTTGGGACACTAGTCTTGGGACAGTAGTCTTGGTACAGGGGTCTTAGGACACTAGCGGAGAGTACTGTGATAGTGACGAATAGTCTTGGGACGGTATAAAAATTGAAGTAGAATCACAACAAGTGTGTCTTAAGACAGAATAAGACAAATCGAAATAGGTACGGTTAAGACCAAATTAAGGAAAGTTTTTCGGAGGTTTTAGAAAGAGAATTGGATAAGGTTTTTAACACGTTGTACAGAATTTGTTACCACAAAAAATATATTTTTTTTACCCTTAGAATAGAATCGTGTATATAATAAAATTGTAAATAGGAGCAGTTGTAAATAGAAACAATGAGGCGGAGTAGGGTACCGGTGCTCGAAAAAAGGTCAAGTGGATCAAACACGAAATATAATTCATCGCTGCGCGGAACGACATCAACGGGCCCAAAGATAACGAAGACGAACTTTTCAGTTAACATGGTCAGCACAAGGAGTACAGCGGAGAACAGGGCGAAAGAGGGCACGGAAGGGGAGCGAGTAGAACCCACCATCGAGATTGATCTAGAGACACCCGATCAAAGTGTGGATGAAACAAGGAAGATGGCGACAGAGTCAACTCCAATGCCCAATGCAGAGGAACCGAACCAGAAACCCATAGAGTTCTCACCGATAGATGACGCGGAAGATGCAATAGGCAACACCGAAGAAACGGTGAAAGAAGACTCTCAAGTAAAGAGGACATCTTTTACGGAAAAATTGGGAATAATGTTCGGAATAAAAACAAAAGAAAACGTGACTGAAGAACCAAAAGCAGAAAGAGCACGAACATTTGGGACAGTGAGCACGAAGACCTCAGAAGCCAATCCAAGAGAGGAACAAGCTAAAGCAGAGGCTACGGCCGAAGAGAGACCGACAGCTGACCATGAAGAGACTACCATTGAGCTGGGTGACTTGTTGGCGAAATTAAATCAGATTGACAAAAGACTTAAGCACAGTGAAGAAGACAGAGAGGTGATAAAAAAGGAGATAAGATACAACAAGCACGAGTATCTAGACAGTTATTTTAACCTAGCTAAGGCAACAGATGAGAGACTCAAGGAAATGTCAGATAAGGTAGAAGCCACC